CAGGACTCCCACCTAATGTTCTCAGACAGATCTACCTGACCTCCATTAGGCCTGTTCTAGAAAATGTCAGCCCAGTTTTGGGTGGACTCACCAAAGGCCTTGCCGATTAATTTGAATGCGTGCAAGAAAGGTGCTTTAAAATTATCAACCAAGTTATTTCCAAGTTTTATCCAAGTTGTAATTTTTAGTTTATGTAACATACATTTAAGTGAACATTTCATATCTGTGGCCCCTCTGGATTCAGCGGCCCATAAACAGTGATGGGACTAACGGCGTTGAAAGTAACGGCATTACTAACGCCGCTACCTTTTTTAGTAACGAGGAATTAAAATTATTACTCTTACTGTAACTATAACGCAGTTACAATTGCCGACACCCCGTTAATGCACGTTACTCAGGTCGCACAATTGTGCGCGTCATGAGAGAGGGGAGTATGGAGAGTGAGGATGACTCCAGCGGCAAAACAGCGCTTTCAAGATGGAAATACTAGTGTTACGTCGAGCTGCGTTTCCCCTGCATCTCCACACCGCGCTGCGGCACGATTTACCGCGCAAGCGACAGGAAACGCGCATGTTCATTAAAGGTGCGTAACAGCCGCCCTGTGCTCGTGCCACAGGGGAACTACGGGAAGATCATTAGCCTATATGGAGAAAGAGAGAAATGATGGATGGATGGAATAGATAGATAGATATAGCTACATGTTGCAGTATCTATAACAACCCAAACACAGGATTTCAGAATTAGACATCCCCAGTTAAGTAACGTGCCCAACACTGCCCATAAATGTAAGTCTCAGAGCTGGTGAGCACAATAGAGAAAAGTCCTTGCATTGTTATCAGTCCATCGGCCAATCTGTTAATCATACCCAAGACCCCTCAACCCATCCACTCCTTTAGGCCTATTCTCAAATAGTATATGTTGGCAAAATACGTTTCTGGAAAAGGGTGTCATTTTTTTAAACATATATAACATTATGTGAAACCTTTAAGTAAAAAAAAGCACAAGAAAGGTTCAATAAATACAAACAGATATCTTCACTGTAATTTAACTTTTATAAAAGCTGGTAAATGTTTCACTTATTTGAGTCTTTCCACAAAGATACAGAAGCCAATCACATCAACTAAGTATTAGAAGGTCTGGCAAGCTTAATAATTGATGGCAACGTGATAAAAAAAAACACCCATCCATATTCGTCTATCTTATCCCAAGCAGGGTCGCGAGGAGTGCTAGTGGCTATCTGCAGCTGTCTACCAGCGATAGGCGGGGTACACACTGCACAGGTCACCAGTCTATCGTAGGGCAATACAAAGTCAAACCAAACAGGAAATTTAGAGAAGCTAACTAACCTAAAAGTCATGTTTTTGTTCTGTGGGAGGAAGCCAGGGTAACCAGAGAGAACTCACACATGCTCAGAGATAAAATACAAACTACATGCAGAAAGACCCCGAGTTGGGAATTGAACCTAGAACCTTCTTGTCGCAAGGCAACAGTGCTACCCGCTGCTCCACTGAGTGGCCCACAAACATGTACATTTTTAACAAATAAAAACTTATAATTTTTGAACTTACCGAATAATCGGGACGATGGTTGTGATAGGAGGTTGGTTTGGTTTGCCGGTATCAGATCTGGTTCCCGGATCCACGTATGTTAACGTTGTCCATTTAATTTGTGGGCCTAAAGCATTGTCTATCCAGTATCCCCTCCTCCAGAACCAGTTGTACCTTGTTGGATAGCTGATGGAAGAAAAGTTAAGTAAAAATGTTTTTCAGGTAAATCACTGGCAGTTGAGATTTATTGCAATGCTTAAATACATGTTGCACTTAAATGTTTGAAGCTCAGTTAAAACAAATTAATATTTGTTGTCTTGCCTAATTTCAAAAGGCAAGTT